TAATGTCGCAAATATTATATTTCCGTTCATATTCTGCTCTATTTATATTATAATATTACCAGGTGTATGAAAATATATTTTATGTTGATATGTTCATTTTTATTGGTATGTTTTATTTTTATTTCTATATACAATATTACCTTGTTATACATGATTTCGTATGTTAATGTGATAAATAAAGTACTCGTATATCTTTGTTGTTATACTAATTGGAATAATCAGTACAAGTTATGTCCAAATCGGTTGTATTGTATCTGAAATTTGCACACACACACGCGCATAAATAGAGAAACAGGAAAAAAACAATTAGGCATACATTCTGATAGTCATTATTTTGGATTTATAACTTTGAGAGAGCCCTTGGAATAATATTCTTTTTAATTATTTTTCCTGTACATTAAAGATATTTATTATTATTATATATATATGAATTGCTGTTCGTTAGTCTCGCTAAAACTCGAGAACGGCTGGACCGATTTAGCCAACTTCATACATTACTTGCAATTAAAATTAAAAAAAAAGAAAATAACGACTTAATTTTTTTGGAAATAAATTCTACTAGTTTTCACTTGGTTTCACATATGGTTTCTATATTCATAATAGCATAGATTACATGTTATATAATTTAAAAAAAGAATATTAAAATTATAATTTTTTGAGTAAAGTATTTCCCCTGGTTTTCAAATTAGAATTGAATCTATCTCTTACATCCTGTATAAAAGAAGGTACGATGCAAAAGGTATAACCACAAAAACAGAAAAAGTAAAAAATACGTTGCAAAGATCGAATGTTCCCGAACAAACTCTCTACCTATGTAGCCATCTCATTAGTTCACGGTTCAATCAGCCGGTGTGTCATGAATACAAAATAAACTCATTATTGTAAATACTGTACTTATTACGGGGGGAGTTAAAAATATTGAAGACGCTCTAAGAATTAAAATTCAGCACGCGACGATGTTTGAAAAACTCATCCCTCCTGGAAATGAAGCCGTCACGATAGGTATACTCGTTTTAATACCTCTCGTAGCAGAGTATGGTAATAAGGAAAAAATTAAGTGCATACTCTATTGAGTATCTATACACTATCCAGTAGTTTTTTTTATGCTACTATTTACCGATTTTATCTGGAACCAGCTCTTAACTGCGATATTATATATACATACATTTATATCCGACTAGCTATCCACCCGTGGCTTGGCCCGCTGGTACATAGAATATACAGGTTATCGCTCGTTTAAAGATCCGTGTTCAGCAGTGGGTCCTGATCCTAAATATTCCTCTTGAGTCACTCTATCTATTCTGGCTTTTAAATAAAAATGCATCAAAAGCTGCGTAGTTTTTTAAGATCAAAACATACTATTACATAGAAAATATTTTAACCGGAAATTGAAGCCATTTAAATGGTATTGGCAGATCAGTTGGGATCATACATTATACTCCATTCCAGAATCATCTATACATCTATACATATAAATAAAATTGAAATGTCTGTTTGTAATATCGAAATAACCGTCTTTTACTACTTGCATATGAATATAAATACGGTACATACACCAAAATAACATTTTTTACAATTTTTGTCTGTCTGTCTGTCGGTCTGTTTGTTCCGGCTATTCTCTGAAATGGCTGGACCGAAATTGACGGGACTTTTTTTGGCAGGTAGCTGATGTAATAAGGAGTAACTTAGGCTACTTTTATTTTAGGAAAATAAAGTTACATTCTACGCGGACGAAGTCGCGGGAACAGCTAGTTTTAAATATAATAGATAGCTTATATATGCCTCTTTATACAGTTTGCCTTATTAAGTTGAATTTCATCAACATGAATTCAGTAGTTCAATCGTGAAAAGATAAACACATATTCTGATTGTAGTACGGTTGTTTGTACTTTTCTAACAAGGTATTTAAATATATAGTTGTTAATAGTCAATAACAGTAAAAAATATATAAAACTCACGTCTAGGAAATCAGAATATAGTGATAATAATAAAATTTTTGTACAGTATTAACTCTTTGATCATGACTTATGGCACAGAGACGTGGTCGTCGATGCATTAGTATATGATGATTGTTTATATCGATCTGGGTGTTATCTATGTATAATATGTTTGTATTTACGAAAAAGGAATACCTATATATTTGTATCAGTTATCTAATACCCATAACACAAGCTTTTGCTAGCTTAACTTACGTCTAGATTGCGCTGTGTGAATTGTCCTGCGATTATTATTATTATATTATTAATTCTTCTATGGACTCCCGCGATACAGGTTAGCTAAGTACATTGTTGAATGTATAATCAACTGAATACTATTCGTATGTTTCAAAAATAAATAAATGTTACAACAAAACTCGCATGCACGTTTGTTCTTGTAAGAAAAGGTTAAGGAAAAAGTTCATGTGTTGATTGATGATTGGTAGTTGCTACCTTGTATGTGGGTGAGCTCGAATAAGAAACCAACATGTTTGTCTGTTAATATATTAGGTCAGACAGTAAGTTAATTGTTTAATAGAAGATATGATTTGTGTTACAGTCGTCTGGATAATCTGAATTGTATAGTTATTGTCTATTTTGAAAAGGGAATAAATTAATTTAATAATATGAAATGTATAGTTTAACAGATAGAAAAGTATGAATACAAATATTTATTCAAATATACTTAATATAAGCATTTTTGAATAGTCATATTTTTTTTATTCTACCACTCATTGAGTACGCTGACTCATCACAAGACGAATGTGCAAAAACAATTTTTTTGCGGACTACTCTAAAGAATATATGATAATAATCTCTAGCCTTATAGTAGCAAAAAATAAGCTAATATTATAGAGAGAAAGGAGATTTCGTTATTAGGAAAGTAATCTCCGGAAGTCTAGGTACAGTGGAGACTAATTTGAAAATTTCTTCACTGTTTAAAAAGTCCTGTACTTAAAATTATGATAATTTATACAAAACACATTGATATCAGCATGAACTCAAAGCGGCAGCAGATCATAATAAAATTAATTTTGTTATGATCTGCTGCCGCTTTTTTTGATATGATTTATATCTTGTTAAAATCTTTTATAAGAGGAAAGTTGTGATTGTGTGTATTGCTCTGGGTATTTTCTATGTATATTATATAAACATTTACAAAAAAAGTATCTAAGTATATCTTCAGTTGTTTAGAACCCACAATACAAGCTCTGATCGTTTTTATTCACACATTTCAACTTAATAATGCAAAGTTCCAACAATTATTCAAAAAAGCTACACGCAATTTTCAGGCTTATTCCTCTTATGATGAGACAGCTTTCCGAATGAGCGATAGATTAAAAAAAGATAACGGCGACTATTAAAAAGTCCTTAAATTTATGTTTATATGAATTTTAATAGATGATGTCTATTCTACATGTTTTGTTTTTAGCTTAGGACTAGTATGCGCTGTGTTAATTGTTGGTATTAAATTATATGATTCATTACAATACAACCTTATAATAGCTAAATTCATTTATAGCGCATGGATGTCATCCATAAAAATGTGAATATTCAAGTAGACAAAGATCAAATATATAACAAAATTAAATGGCCAATAACCATGTAAACGTAGTCATATACGTAGTTTGCAGTGATTGGCACAAGCCCCGCAATAGCTGGGCGTTTAGTCTGTTTTGTTACGTTTTATCGTACTGGACACGATTTATTTACACTGGTTGTAAGGTTAAACGGAATTGTATGCTAGTTACACTCAGAGCAACAAAATAGTCGTGAGGGAAGAAAGAGGCATGAGTGCTGCCATCAATAAATGTGCATTTGAATAGTGTTGCCATATATCTATTATTTCGTTAAGTTTAAGACGGAAATAGACAGGATAGACGTTTTTATAGAATAGGGGGCCAATGAACTTGCGAATCACCTGATGGTAAGTGATTATCGCCGCCCATGAGAATACGCAATACCAGGAGAATTGCAAGTGCATTTAAGAAGGAATAAGCTCTTTTCTTGAAGGTTTCGATATCATATTGGTTTGGAAATAGTATTGCTGGAAGTTGGTTGGTGGTTGTGCATGGCAAAAAGTTTAAGGTTTCCATTTCTGCCTGGTAGTATGATGGTAAAAGCAGGTGGTATTAATCCGAACAATTTCTTAGAAGAGTCTCCGTGATAACTGCAGTAGAAAATACACGGGTACTATACTTTGTCTTACTACTGTAATGACTTACGGTGCAGAAACATGGACACCAACTGTAGGCCTACTTCATAAAATAAAAGTCGCACAGCAGGCGATGGAGAGAGCTATGCTCGGAGATCCTCTAAGGGACATGATCCGAAACGAGGAAATTCGACGGAGAACCAAAGTGGACGACATAGCTCTCAAAGTATGTCAGCTGAAGTGGCAGTAGGCTGGACATATCAGCAGAGTCAGCGATGATAGATGGGGAAGAAAGGTTATGGAGTGGAGGCCGCGTATGGGTCGACGGAGTGTCGGGTGCCTTCCTGCAAGATGGTCCGACGAAATTATAAAGGTGGCCGGGAGTGGATGGATGCAGAAGGCGAAAGAGCGCACATGGTGGAAGTCTTTGGGAAAGGCCTATGTCTAACAGTGGGCAGACACAGGCTGATGGTGATGATACTTTGTCTTGCCGCAAAGCCAATGGGTTGTGTCGGAACAAAATAATTAATAAATTATGTTTAATATTTATCACTGTCAGAGATACTTATTACATCCGTTAAAATACATATTATTGTATTTTGCACCATACAAATATTCAGAAAGATATGTATATTTTTGGTCGCGAAATAATGGTTTGAAAAAACAGTTAGAAGATAATAAAATTTATTTCTATTGTAAACAATTTTGGTGTTACACATTGTATACATCATTCTCCCGCTTGACTTTTTCGTTGCTCTGTGTTTGTTATTTTTTTTCATATAAAATTGTATACTTTGCGGATGCCTGATGGCATTCTCTACCAGTCAACCGTCGCGTTGATCAGAGATAAAAAGGTTGTTGGTACTTACCATCATGAGAATCGTAGATGTAGATAACGTTCTTCCAGCCGTAATAGGTGATGGTGTCAATGACCGCACGGTGGTAGTCGGGTCTCACGCTGACAGCATAATCAACTAATCCAGATGACGGAGGGATCACCTGAAAAGTAGGTTTTCTTTTAACATATTTGTAATCAAAAACCAAAATTATTAAGTAAATATTAAAATTGAAATCAGTAGTTGTTTATACTGTTCAATAACAATACAAGAAGTATATTATTATTATAGATGTATTTTTAATACATTTTCAGTGTAAATAATATATAACGTAATGTTGCTGTCAATTTAAATAAAGTTTTCAATTATTTGAAAAAAACATTAAAAAGAATATTTGTTCCATCTTGAATGTTTTTCTTTAATCTGATATGATTTAAAATATATAAATATATATTTAAATACATTTACATCGTAAATACATAAAAAATAATCAGGCCAATACAAACAATAGTACTCATAAATACAAATGGTAATTTAGAAGATTTTTTATTGTAATGTACATTAATAAGGATTAGGTATGCGATAATCAACATAAAAACCGTTACGTACTGGAATCTATATGTAATTAAATAATGGTATTCATTCTGTATGGTGTTCAGTCATGATTTCGTTCTAATTACTTCTGAATATAGTGAAACACCGACGAAAATTAATATATTCTGTACATGTAGCAGGGAGTTACAACAACAGAGAATTACTACTAGGGATGATCTACATCAATGTCTCGATACTTATAAATCGATCGATATTATATCGACAAATATTCAATGAGAAACAGATATAAGAACAGATAAGCTAGTCCTCTTGGCTTCTAAAATTGTCAGTGAATTTGTATTTCGAATAACTGTTTTTACATAATCTGGTATCGAATCTGATACCATGTCATTTTGAGTTTGAATGACCCTTATATAGGCCAAAAAGTATTGAGTTCTATCTGTAATCAAGTCATTTTATTTCTTTTAGGTTAGAAGGAACCAGATTTAACAAAAAACGCTAAATCCTATTTTATATGACCTTCTACTTTGTTGATATTATCGACGAGTTGATGTCGTTGTTTTCTGATAAATCCTATTTTATATTACCTTTTATTTTTTTTATATTATAGAAGAATAGATATCGTTGGTTTCTGAAAAATATCGATGTATATTGAACATCCCTAGTACTAAACCGTTACAGCACCTATGATACAACTTAATATCTACGAGTAGACAAACAATAGTTTGTACGTGGACCACAAGTGGTATATTATAATACGTAGAATAATATACCACAAACCTTGTGGTAATACTTATCCGCTTATAAGCTATCGGGAATATCGTAAGTAATTGAAACTGTATGGTAAACTAGTGAACTTAATAATAATATTTAGTGGTAACTAATAATTTTATATATGGAATAACGTGTGGAAATTAACTTTATTTTTCAAATATAAAAGTAGCCTAGGTTATTCCTTATTACATCATGATGGTCGCGGGTTCGATTCCTCGCAAGGCAGTAATATTTGTATTCATGAATATGATGGTTGTGTCGATGTGGGTGTTTCCTATGTATATTAAGTATGTATTTACAAAAAAATATATTTAAGTATTCATATCAGTTGTCTAGTACCTATAACACAAGTTCTGCTTATCGTGAGACTAGACGGCTCTGTGTTAATTGTCCAGGGTTATTATTATTATTATTTTTCTTCTCTCTATCGTCTCACAAAAGCTGAGAGACTTTTCTTGTTTTTTTTTCACACTTACGGGCCGATACCAAGTAAGTGCAGTGTATGTGTGTGTGTGTGTGTGTGTGTGCGAGCGTTTTTATTATCCTACTAATTTTTGCTCGCGGCTTCGCTCGCTTAATTTATCCCTTTAAGGGTGGAATTTATCAAAATCCTTTCCTAGGGGATGCCTATGTCATAGTAGCTTTATGCGTGCAAAGTCTCACCCAGATCGGGTTAAAATTGACAAAGTTTCATACAAACTTACAACCCCTATTTTATCCCTTTGGGGGTAGAATTAATCAAAATCCTTTCTTAGCGGATGCCTACGTCATAAGATATACCCGCATGCCAAATTTCAGCTTGATCCGTCCAGTGGTTTGGGCTGTGCGTTGATAGATCACTACGTCAGTCACCTTTGAATTATATATATTTAGATTATAGTTAAGATGTAAGCAGTAGATTTTGTAAATGTCATCTGAGTGAGTACTTCAGTCTCACCTATTTCATTCGCCAATCACATTGCTTTGAAAGCTGCGTTTCAGTAAAACCGTTTCGCCTTTGATTTGTAAAATTCACTCACACAAAATTGTAAATAGAAAATTGCATCTACCATGTAATAAGTTTAAAAAAATATTTATTCATTTAATAGAACTTGTGACGTTAATAGAAATTAAAGAAGAAGAAAGAAGAATATTTTATTCAGTGCTTTTCAACAATGTTACAATATGTATTTTTTTTGTAAATCCATACATAATATACATAGAAAATACCCAGACCGACAAAAAAAAAAATTATGAATACAAACGTTTGCACCGTGCGAGAAATCGAACCCACGACCATCAGAAGTAAAGCGGTGTGCTAAACCGCTAGACCACTGAATCTTTCAATATAAAGATACATATAATATAAACTAACAGTTAATTGATAATACGGACTATAAACTACAAACCTTTTCAGGAAACCACGGAGTGACAAATGGCATTTGGAAGGTGTTGGTGTACGAATGTAAGGTATCAAAGGAGTCCGGAGACACTGCACTCATCATGGCGATCACTCCACGACTGAACTGGTTGCATACTGAAACAAAAATGTATCATTAGTATTTTTTTATACTACATTGGTCGCAAACAGGCATGTGGCCCATATGGGCTGTCAACGGTTATGTATAAACCCTTGAAACACCAGGAGAGTCGTGTTCGCGTTGCCGACCCTTAAGAAACATTAATATTCCCTTTTTGAATCATGTTGTTATTCCACAACATATTTTTTTTTAATAAATTAAATATTTTCTTGTTACAGAAAAAGTCTATTTACTTTCTTTTAAGTATAATTATAACACAAAATATGGTACAATTTACAGCATTTTTTTTCTTAAAAAAACTAAGTAAATATATATATACATATATATTATTATTATTTTAATAAAAATAACTAGTGTATGTATTATCTTTCTTAATAATTACTGAAATATAATGTAAGAACATCTCCCTTTTGTTCTATTTTGTTTTCTTTCTCTTCTTAATAGATAATTATAAAATTAGAAGTTGTTATATTTTCGTTCTAAATAATTAGGAAACCGTTCCATATGTTAAAAAATACTAAATCTAATTTAAAAGTAAAGAGTACAGAATAATCAGATCAGTTTCCTTGTATCAGCAGACATTAGTTTTTCATTATTTATTTTCCCTTTTAAGGAAAATATGAGGTCGTATTATATTTATTTAATGGTAATCCACATATCAATAAATGTTTTTACACTGCGCAAAAATTAATAATGCGACCAAAAAGTAGATGAAACGGTATGGTTACTAATAATAATACCTTTCATCTGTCTTTTGTGCCACATTTCCAGCGGTAATCAAAAAAGACGAGGCTATCAAGAAAATGCACTGTAGTGTAAAATTTTAAAGTCTCTTCCAGATTTGCGGTACAAACATACGCCAGCAGAATTTTAATATGTACTGATAAAGAACCGTAATTATATTACCTTTTGGGTTCAGTACCAAAACCGCTAAAAACCTTAAGCGTTTTAAGAAAATTTCTGAAATAAAACATTTCAGAAATTATTGCAAAACGTAAAAATGGTTGTTTATTAATGCTATAATTTTGTAGTTTACAATAGTTTTATGAACTATTAGCTTTAATAGAGATAAAAAAAATTTAAAAATCATATTCTTTGCGAAAGTTTTCGAAGCGCGAGCTTGTTTCAAAATAGTTCTACTAACTAAGTGGAGTATCTCATTCCGTTGTTTTTATCTAAATATATATCGTTTCCCTACTCGCAAAGTTTCTGAAGAATAAAGTTTAAAACGATTCCATTCATTAAAATATTTATAGGTACACTTTTAGAAAAAAAAAAAATAAACGCGTTGGGGTTTTTGAGCAGTTACTTATCTAAATATCGTTACCCTATTTACAAAGTTTCTGAAGGAAAAAGTCTAAAACAATTCCATTCATTAAAACATTTATAGGTAATGTTACGAAAAAAAAATAAAACAAAACGCGGTAGTGTTTTAAAAAAATTACTAAATAAGTTACGCAGTTCAATTACTATGTATATTATATATGTACGATATTAAAAAAAAATATTTAAGTATTTATTACAGCTATCTAGTACCTATAACAAAAGCTCTGTTCAGCTTTAGATTAGTTGACGTGGTTTGTCCAGTGTAATTATTATTATTATGGTAAAAACTTTAATGATATTAATATTTATTTAGCGAACTCCTTGATAAGTTTTTATACTGTTTATAAATTTTCTAATAGTATGCTTTGACATATTCTTTTATAATATTATTCTTTATTGTTGTATATCTATTATATATCGCTGTCATATTAGTCGCATTTTATTATATCTCCGTATTTTCCTTATTAAAACCCTCAGCACCTCTTACTCATCAGACACATTAGATATCACCGCTTTATTTATTTTATATTTTGTAGATGTAATTTGATAATGGATTCTAATTGAAATCATTTGTCCGGAACCCTCAGTGTAAGAATCGGGCTCGCAATTTTCCGGTTTTATTTATACATTGTCATGTTGTTTATTCGTAGCTAGGAAATTCGTTTATCTTTTGTATCTACATTATTACCAACTATAATGTTGTTTTGTATTATTACACCCAAGTACGCGGCATACTAATGTAGCGACACTAGACTCAGGGTTCCCAAGTATTCCGTTTTAATCGGGACGTCCCGATATCAGAATACAGTGTCCCTTGTCCCAACTAAGGGATTGGCGGGATGCCAATTGTTCCAATTTTCAAATGAGAATGTAACCTAGTCTCACATTCAGCCGCCAAGCAAGTTGGTAAGTTGGTTTGTAAGTTGTATTTTGATTGTAAAGTAATAAAATTTTTGGATGTTACTTATACTTAGTCATCTGGAAAAAATTAAAATTAGAATGTAAAAATTTGACGTTTACATATAAGCCGCTAAAATGTCCTACATGAATAAATGATTTTTGAATTTGAATTTGAATTTGGAATGGCAGCCCATAAGAAGTATCATGAGTATCAAACAATAACATAATATCCGTAGAATATACAATTGAACTTGCATTCATTTGTATATTCTATTCGTATTTAAACGAAAGTAACAGCATAGAATCAGGTATTTAGTCCTATTATTTCCTATTCCAATTGAATTAAAAAAAATGTTACCTGGAAGTGCTGAGTAGCTAGAACCTAACCTAATTCAAGTAGCATAAATTTCCAGCCAGTAATGTTAGAAAATATTAAAAAAGTTTTTCTTCAATACCAATTATTTTACACTATCATAATTTTTTCGGTATTTTATATAGATCGTCGTTTTTTAATTCATTAAAAAATACGGACATCTTTTTATTTGGGATGTGCTGTGTGATCAGCCGTCATATCTAAACTTGCTCTCCTTTTATACATATCACAATAAGTCGGACTGTTTATCTACCTTTTTTTTAAATTTTCAATTAATAAAAAAAATTAATAAGGGCACAACAGGTGTTTAAAAGTCCCGAAAAATTCTTAATTGTTGTTGGCCAACCTAATCTAACTTGAATATTCACTGCTGTACACTCCCCCGATACAGACAATAAACTGTTATTAGAGGAACGTTTATGATTTATACGAGGTGCTTCCAAACTATCACAGATTACTAATATACTCCGTGATCTAGCGGTTAAGGACACCGCCTAACTTATAATGGTCGCCAGTTCGGTTCAAAAATCGATAATGTAAATTAAAATATCTTTACTTCTATAGGTCCATTACAGACTCTCATGACATGTTAAATCGGACAGTTTGGAGTGCTTTTGTGGTAAAAAGAACTGAGGAGAAACTTACTTCGTATTATTTATAAAATATCAGATTCGTTTTTAAATTCGTTCTAGCACAGTGTAAACATTACATTGAAAAAACAGTTTGGTTAACAAAATTTACGAAAGTTGTTTTTATAGAGTTTTTTATCCTAGTAAATATTTTATTTTTTCGCATTTGATAATCCCTCAATTTCCTTCCATTCATTCCTGTTCGCAGTCATGTCTTCATTTACTTTTCCTTACTTGTTATATCATTTTTTATACAGTCGATCTACCTCTTTCTCAGCCTTTCCTCTGCCCTTATAATTATCCTCATTCATATATAATACTTTCTTTAAAATATTTTCTTTATTTCTACATGCTACATGTCTTTATAAAAACGTGGCAATAAAATAAACAAACCTAAGGTTTTCTAAAATACTCCAACACATTGTAGCGCATTTCAAATAGCAATATTGCAGAAATAAGAACAAAAATACAAACGCAATCGAATGGAAATTAAATAGGAAAAATGTCAAACGATCAACCATATTTTAGCGTTGCAGAAATTTAAATAAGAAAATCTGTACTAGGTAAACTCAAAAGTGAAAAAGTTTATTTGAACAGAACTTGTACACATATATAATATTTATGACTGTTTTTATATTATTTTTCAATTACAGTTCAGTTTATTTGGCATATTTCAGTTGACTAGTTTCGTATATATATATATATATATATATATATATAAACACCTCTTTGGGCACTTTGTTGATCACGCCACAACCTACACACTTGCTGATTCCACCTTTTGCACTGAATAACTTGACTCCTATCGCGTATATCTCAGGCGGTATGGCAACGTCGCATTCTATTTTGCGATGTGGCCATATATATTCGTCGATAGTACGATATACTCGACACATTTTTTACTAATAATTCGTGCATGACTGGCTCCGAACGGCTAAATTTTTGGTATACACAAAGACTTTTTGGCTCTGAATATATTTCAAAAATCAATTAATTATGTTGATCACTTTATATACTCGTCCTTACTGCGATACTTATTTTCATCCGAATATATATAGATACCGTAACGGTCTATCAATTATGAATTTATTAATTTACTAATGTAGATATTTTATATTCGCAATGCTCCATACATAGTAACTCCACCGTTGCAGGGGGGAGCACCGTACACCGCACCCCGCGCACACAAACAAATTAGATATTTTTTGAATACACAAAGACTATTTGGCTCCGTATATATATTTCAAAAATCAATTAATTGTGTTGATCACTTTATATACTGGTCCTTACTGCGATACTTATTTTAATCCGAATATATATAGATACCGTAACGGTCTATCAATTATGAATTTATTAATTTACTAATCTAGATATTTTATATTCGCAATGCTCCATACATGCAAGCTCCAGCAACGGTGGAGGCAGGGGGAGCACCGTACACCGCACCCCGCGCACACAAACAAATTAGAATAAATTAAATTCATAAGATTATTTATGTATTTCGACTGCCTCGGTGGTCACACCGCTTTACATCCGATGGTCGCGGGTTCGATTTCTCGCACGGTGCAAACATATGTACTCATCGGTCATCGATTGATTTCATCGGTCTGGGTGTTTTATATGTATATTATATATGTATTTACAAGATAAAAATATCTATTTATATCAGTTCAGTATCAGTCTGTGTTAATTGTCCAGCGCTATTTATTATATTTTTATAAACGGTTATCTTTTTCCATCGCACCGCTCGCTATCGTCAGTGAATTCATAGAAATGTCACTCTAAAAACAAAAATAGTTTTGTATTTCAAATACTAAATGCAAAATAGGTATTTTCAAAATACTAAAATAAAGTACCTTTTGAATTTTTGTCCAAACCTCAGATATTTTATTTATTTTACATAGGTATATCAATCATTACATAGTGTAGTATAAAACAAAGTCGATGTCGCATCTAACAGTACATAAATAAAGAAAGAAGACTTTTTGGCTCTGATACCGTAACGGTCTATCAATTATGAATTTATTATACCTAATCTAGATATTTTATATTCGCAATGCTACATACATTGTAATATCCGCCTCCATTCATTGTAACGGTGGAGGGACTAAATAGTTGAATAAAACTGAATAAGCAGTTGCTCCACTCTATAGGTATGCGTCGTCGTCGTATGCTGTTCATTTTTTCACTCGTTTTGGCGCCAAGAGAGGGTCACATAGTCGTGGTCAAGTTAAGAACTTATAATTTAATTTTGATGACAATAGATACAAGTAAAAAGTAGGTATTATATTAATGTACGTAAGTACTTAAAAATATTTATTCTTTATTGTACATTTGAAAAACTTAACACTTAAGGACTTGTACATATACACGTACATACTGCCATTTTCTCTTAAAGACATCCAGAGAAGCACTATTTATCAAATACGCGGGGTGCACCGACCTTTGACCTTATAACAGCTGATTCGCGCGTAACGAATTACATTGCTACTTACATTACTATTTTATAGTGGATATTTCACTATAAAATATTATTA